TGCCTTCCCGAAGAGGGGGGTGTTGTCCATATGCAGGTATCCCGTAAGGCCTGCGCGTCCTCTTCCCGGGCAGTGGCTACCAATGTGCCACCAGCCAGGGAGAGGGGTGGGAACAAGCTTGAAATGCCGTAATGAGGCAACTCTAAAACTACAACTCTGAAGCCTATAACTCTGTACCCTATAACTCTGAAGCCTACAGACCCTCTAAACTGACACTAAAGGGAAGTACCACAGAGTCACAACGCCTCGGGGAGTGGGCCCCAGGAGCTCCACCAGTCACGCTCCCGCGGCCCTCCTCTGCGCACAAAGACTTTTGGGGGGCGCTCCAGGGTCCGAGGTTTCTTCGGAACTTTCGGGGCCGAGCTTTACGGCTTTGTGCTTTGGGTTTAGCCGTTTCGGGGCTGTTGTCTCGGGGACGGGTGTCTGGGAGGTTATTAACGGCCTTTGCATGAAAGGGCTGAGCCAAATCATCGGAAGTCCCGAAAGACTCTATGCGACGGTGAAAAACAGTGTCACAGTGGTGGTGGTGGTGGTGGTGCTGCTGCTGCTGCTGCTGCCCATAACTAAACGAGTCGTGAATGTAAAGTATGGTGTTGCCGTGCTGATTATGCTTTAGCTGAATCACCGGTTGTAGGGCGTTGACTACTGGGCCCCAGTCGGTCCGAAACTGCAGTAAAGGCAAGAAGCCTGTAAGAAATCGGAACCTAAAACTGAACCCCATCCTTGCTTAGGCCCTCAACTTGCAAAGAACCGAGCCAAACCAATACCAATATAGGAGCCTTATTCTTTACATATACGGTTGTATTTTGGGGGGGTTCCTTGCTATATGTTATAGTCATAGCATAATATACCCCCAAAACCCTATTCTAACTATTAATAGGTCCCTATATTCCCGCCCTTCCGGTCCGGCAGGGGCCCGACAGTGTCTTTGGCCTTTGCCGTAGTCGGACGCACCTTTCCAGATCTTTGCTTTGGGATTTGGAGTTCCGTGCTCAGGGCTTCGGGACTTGTATACTACTTTCCAGGGAAGGATTTTGCAGTTCCTCCCTCGTCGGTTTAGGATCTCGGTAACTTTCGGGTGCGATTCGGCTTTGGAGGATTACGTAGGGCCACTGCAATAGGAGACCTGCAAAGTGCCCCAGTTGTGGCGCATGTCGTAAGTTGGGGATGTCATGAGGCTCTCACTGGAGCTCCGACAAGCAACCGGTGCATGCCGTTGCACGATGAGCGATGGAATTTCTGATTTTGCGCCAGTGGTAGCATCCGTCCCTTTGAGAGAAAACGAAATGCTGCCTCGACGGTCTCCGATCCGAGCTTGAATGTCATCGGATCCTGCGTAATTCAATCATGCTGTTCGTTGGTGCTTCTTCCTACATGCTCGAAAACTCATGCGCTACTGTGTAGATGCAAGTACACCTGAAAAGCCGCATGCGATTGCTTTAACCCTTCTGGGCTTCGACGCTCGAAACGGCGGTTGGAAATCCGCGGCTTCAGGGCCCTAGGTTTTGAAGCATCGATCTCACACTCAACCAATTTAGAGCCGCTTGCTTCGGGCATCAGCCGTAGCCTAGCTGTTGCAACCCTCTCTTGTGAGCGTGAATAGAAGCACGAGAACCTAAACTGCCGCGTGCCCGCACCTTCACCCCGGAAAGCCCAAAACAACTGAGAAGCCAACAGAGCTTTCCTAATTAACCCAAACTGCGATGCTGAACTTAGCGCAGAAACCCAGTGTGGAATTCTTTGTGCTGGACGGTCCTGGAGTGACGACTTCAGTCGGTTCTCCGCTTTCGTGGCGCGGGTTTCCGCTCGCCTGCGGGATGCAGGGAGGCTCGAAACGATCAGGGGGTTGTTGGGCATTCCGAGCCTCTCCATGCAAGTCGTGGCAAGGGTGGCCGGGAACTCAAGTGCTGATGATTCCTGAGCCTTTGCTCCAGACCGAAGGCCAAAGTGGAAAATGTGCACCTGCTCTTCTCATCCGCTTCCGCCGATTTTTGCTCCAGCAGCTGTGCCTCTCGACGGTTTCGGTGTTTGGCCATTCGATGCTTCGGCTGAGATAGGAACTTTGATTGGGGATTCCAGGGCCTGTTGCCTTGGAGCTCTACCGCCTTAGAGACGGGCAGCGTCCGCACGGGGGGCGCGGCGAGTCTTGAGCAGCAGATGCGGCCAGGAGGGTTTAGGGCGCACGTTGTCACACCTTGCAATCTTTAGAAGTTCAGTGGGTGGGGCAGCAGAAAACTCAGGAATCCACAAAGCTGAATCGCAAGATTTGTGCCATCTCAGACAGACACAAAGACTCCACATCCCGGACCTCCAGTCTTGATTCCTCGAAAAGACCCACTAGCCGTTCCCCCATCGCCGCGAGAGAAAACTCCAAGCCGCCTCGGAACGAAGTCGGGAGATTTCGCTGCGTGCGGCCGCCGTTCGAGACCGAGCCTGTGGCTTAGTGGCTTGGGGTTTAGGAAGGGCTGGCATGAATTGGAGGCCGCTCTTGACGAGTACCCCAGAAACTGCCGTACAGTTATCCGCCGACCCCGCAGGGGCGGTGCCCAGAAGTTAGCGTGGCTCTCCTTGCGCTACCAACCGCACTCAACTGCAGTCGGCGCCACCCGCGTTTGCCTCAACCCACTTGGTTTACAATGCATGCCCAACCCCTCCCCATCCCTACCCAAGCCCATTCCAGCCGCTTCCCCCCCAGCCTAGCCCAGCCCAGCCCAG